CTCCTGCATACTGCTAGGATCAGCAATGTCAATAGCATAATGTTTTTAGATAGAAATGAGAGATGGTAAGCTTTGAGCTTGGTAAAGAAAAAGAGAAGGATGTTTTTTCATCTTTGTCACAAGCATGGGACAAAGAAAAAAATTCTGAGTCCACATGAGGAATCGAACCTCAGACCTTCAGATTCCACGCTCCAATGCTCTAACCACTGAGCACTAACCACAGAGACTCCACAGAGTGAGGTCTTTTACAAAGTTCATATGGCAGTAAAATTACTCACTAAGAAATTCAAAATATACAAATTTTGTATTCAATGTCTCAGATCTTTGCTTTGTTGAAATAAAGACCTCCAGTGATGATTACCAAGCAGTGTCAACCCAAATGCCAACAAAGCAGGAAAATTAATTCTGTAAGTGACACTAACCAAAGCAACACATGTTATCAGCCCTCCCAGATGCAACCATTTTTGGTTGACATGGCAAGAAGGAAAAAATTTCAGGCCACAAAATTTTCAGAGAAAGTTATAAAATGATAATTATAGTTTGCCTGTCAAATTCTTGAAACTAACTTACAAGAGAATGTTTAGCAATTAAAGAGGAAAATTAACAATCAGATCTTGAGAGGTAATACTCTTAAGATTCTTTTAAGTTATTTCTAGGAGGAAAAATAAATTTTCCATACCTTCCCCTCTGACAACTCTCATATGCAAAACTTCAGATGCAGAACAAAGCTCCTGAAATCTCTCTATTGAGGCCGTGCTCCAGTTTTTTCCCTGTAAAATAAAAAATGTTTCACATAAACAAGATTTTTTTTAAGACCACACACTTTGAAATGCATTTTTGAATCAATTTTTTTAAATTTCTGTCACATAGCTTGAATACAAAATTTTCACCACTTAATCCTTTCACTCCCAAGATCCCATTAGTAATTCTCCTCTCTGTCTGCTATACAATTCATATGATATAAATTTGGAGAATTTGGTATTAGTTTAACAGATTATAGGATAATTGATACTTTTCCAAATTCTCATCACTTTTCTGCTTGATATTGTATCAATACTGTGAGGAGAAATTCTGTATTTAGTCAATCATCGGAGGAAAAGGAATAAGTTCCTTTCTTACCCCTCCAGTAGGGAGAGCTCCATCCAGTGCACATAACACAGCGATCATCGGCAGTTCTGCATGTTCTTTCCTCAGCATGCGAAGTCTTGATACTGGTAATATTTCATTGTTACCAAAGTCCACATAAATAACATTGGCCTGAGGGGTATCTCCTTGAGTTTTCATTTCTGTAATTCTTGCTCGATACCATGCATCATCCTCCTTGAATTGAGCGCAGCAAAACATTCCTTGTTTAAGTGAAGGTAAAGGATCCTTTCCATTTGAGGGATTCTGAGGAAAGTCATGATAGTCTTAAAATAACATCATCAAACCAAGAGCTAACACTCAAAATGTCACCTTTAGGAACTCTTTACGGTGGCCTATTTAAACTGTCAACTCAGTTGTAAAACCAAGTTATCTTGTAATACCCTCCACTGACACAGGATCACAGTTTCTTTAAAAAACTCACTCCCTACATTTATTGGTCTTCAAAATAGTTACCTACATTTCAATCCTTCAGTCAGGCTTATGGCAGGGCACAGGAAAAAATTGAATACTGAATACTGGGAGCAAAGTTGTTTGGGAAAATGAGGTTTAAGCAGGAATCATGTGGAATTGCATGACACCTTTGAAGAACCAGAACACTATTCTCATCATGATCAGCAGTAATATAAATAGTTTACACAGGTATTATGTATAAACTGTTCTATTTACACTGTCCACTTTTACACTGTCCCATCAGTTCTCAAATTTGTTTGGTTACAGTTTTCATTAACTTCATAATTTTGATTTTTCATTGTTTATGTTAAAGGTTGAAAGATTCTTATAATAAATGACACTTAATTTACCTGAAAAAATTCATTTAACTCGGCACTCAGAGCATCAAGTGAATCCCACGTGTGCTTGTAATGAATAAAGAAATGAGCTGGACTATCCACATGGGAAATGGAAACCTTGGTTGCAGTTCTGAAGCAAAATGAACAAATATTAAAAATAATCATAGTATTACTTTATGACTGAGTGGAAGGGACAGATGGAAAAATATTTGGCCCAAGGTTATGACATGAACCTAGATTATATGTCCCTATAAACAAAGAAGGATGCATATTGGACGACTGTTTCATTTTAACTCACCCTTTTTCTGGAAGATCTTGCGGTCTCAGTGTATAAATTTCAACATGTTGTGGTGAACCTACACAAATTCCATCAAAAATTGCATTTCAGTTTGTATCAAAGAAAAAACAGAAATTTAATACCAATGAAGGATTCAATCTATCTACTAGGAGATGTTAGTTTGATCACTGTCAAATTCTCAGAGCTTACATTATCAGAAATGTATGGGCACAAGGTCAGGAGAATTCCTCTCAAGATCTTGGGAACAAAAGGATCAAAGGCACCCCTGGTTGATTAATATTAAAACCTGCAAATAGGCTGCACCCATGTGTAGGCCACACCTCAATTTTAAAATTAATTTTGGTGGAAAAAGATATTAAGTGAATTATGATTAGAAATCATGTAGCTATCATAAAGAATACCATTAACCCTTTAACCCTCAGATCAAATTTGTAATTCTCCTTACTGTCAACCGTTCAATTCTTATAATGTTAGTTCAGAGAATTTAGTGTTGGATCAACCAATTAACCCCAAATTAAATTTTTCTTAATTCTCATCACTCATTTAGTTGATATTGTATTGATATTTTAAGGAGAAATTATATTTTGGCCACTCACGGGAGTTAAAGGGTTAAGAAAGAAAAGTTGTCAAATTTATAAAGTTAGCTCAGAATAAATCTAACAAAAGGCCACAGCGGCCTTCACTTGGGCTTCTCTCCACGATAGGGCTGTTGCTAAACTGAGTAATGCAGTAATAATTAATCCTTTACACCCTAGCATCAGTGGACATATTCTCCATACTGTTCTCTATACATTTCCTAAGGTGCTGACAAGGAGAATTTGTTTAACAATCAAAGCTTCTCAGGTTGGTGATCATTTTCTTTATTCTCATGGCCTCAATGTTTGTTTTAGGGGTGATTCTGATGGGAGAAAATAGTTTGCTAATCACTCTTAGGGGTTTTTGGAAGCTTTTGGAGCAATCTCACCCATCTCTGCGGCCAATCTGAGGGTAAATACCATACTAATGATGGATAAGAAGAGGACACATACAGTTCTTAATAAATTAATAAACCTTCAACCCCATAGACTGACTGGAATCTAATTTCTCATTACACTTTCACTGCTGAATCAAATATCACAGTCATGGGAATAAGGAAAACTGTCACAAACTAAAGAAGATCCTGATTGTTAAACAAATTCTCTCAGTCAGCACCCTAAGAAATATATAGGGAGTAGCATAGAGAATTTGCATACTGATGTGAGGCTGTAAAGGGTTAAGTTTTACTAATATCTTACCTCCATTAGCCTGATGTGGTTGTGTGTGACTGACCTTTGGTTTTTCCTCCAGCTAAAAAGGAAGGGAGGGGTATTTCAGTCCAGCAGGGGACTATAATCCATGGTACTTTTAGGAATCAAAGTTTATACATCATCATAGGATTCACAACAAAAGGCATTATTTTTTTCATGCCTGATTTTCACCAATACAGTGTTCATTTCTAGGAAGATCCCTTCCATACTGCCTCTTTGTCTGCAGTTTACAGATAAGATTTTCATATATTTAAAGTCATTTATTCATCACTTCACAGGTTTAATTGACACCAACATAGTAACCAGATCCCAGTTAGTTTGTTAGCTCAGTTGGTAGAGAGGATAATTTTCCCTGTTCTTTTTAGAACAAATTCTACAAAAAGAAAAATTAAACTCAATTTTCCATCTAAACTTTCCAATCTAAAATCAGATTTCACACCAACCCAGGGTTATCTTAGCCCAGCTTTGAACAACCCAGTCCTTGATTAAGAGCTGAAGAGCCAAATTTTTTTTCTATTCTATCAAATGAGATTTTTTATCATGAATTCAACCTTGTTTATGTGACTTATTTCTGAATTTGCTGAAATGCCTGTACATAAAATAAGATTGCCTGATCCAAAAATTAAAGAAGCATATTACACCAAAACTGCAGTAGTATAATTTTATAAACTCACCAGTTTAGGAGGATATACAATGATGTTATCTCCAGGATACCTGGCGATAAATTACATTTAAAATCAAAGTCAATGCAACTGGCCAACCAAAAAAATTGCATGAGTTCTTACAGAGAATTGCATTAAGTTCTGACTCATATCTTTCAGAAGCAAAGAAATGAGACAGATTTCTCTTTCCACCTAAAACTACCATGTTCTAACCAGCCCTTTAACTCCAATGATCTCATTAGAAATTCTCCTTACTGTCTGCCAAATAATTCTCATTATGTTAGTTTGGAGAATTTG